AGCTGCAGGCACCAGGGCAGCTCAATGGGCCACACTTGGCAGAGCAGTAGGAACAAGGTTGTCCAACGCTTTAGGGGCCCAGGTGCCACAGTGTGCTTAATGTTTGCCCTGTTTGACTTTTGGGTTTGTTTAGGGCCTGTTTTTCCTTTCTATTCCTCTCTTCTGGAATGGGAATGTGTACCCAATATCTGCCCCACTGTATCTTGGAAGTAGATAAACTTGTTTTTGGCTCTTTACAGTTTCATGGCTGAAAGGAGTTTTGCCTTTCAGTGCACTGGGAGCAGTGCACTTATCTCAAATAGAATCTTTAACTAGTGTACTTAAAATGCCCAGAGGGAGATACTTTTGAGCTGAAAGATAGAGCTTCAAAATAATTGTTAGAGAAAAGCCTAGAAAAGATCATTCCTGGATAGAATCTGATAACACCAAATCTGAAAGGCTGTGCTTTCGTTCCAATGTGAAAACTTTTCTTACCTCACTTCCTCCATCTCAGGGTGCCTCCCTTCCCTCTCAGCACACTACCTCATTTAGGTGCCCCTCCTGATATTCTGTTCTTCTCTACTGTACCACTTCTACACTGTCTTGTGAATACTTGTTTTCTTTTCTGTCTCCTTAACAAAATGGTAATGTTCAAAAAAGGTGTTATGGTCAATGTCCGACGGGTAAAAGAAATTTGCCCATGAGAACCGAGTGAGAGGAAAAGAGTTTATTTCTGGCAGCCAGGGCTACGCAGGACAATCGAGGAGTGCAGCCCCGAGTTAAAACCTCTCGCAGCTTTTATTTCTAGCTAGGCGGGAATTTTTCACACCTGACACAATCTAGCCAATGCAAGCAAGCCAGCGATACATAAGCTAATTTTTGTGGTTAGCCCTGTAGCCCCTCCCCACCCTGGATTCCCCATAGGGACTTTTCGGGCTAAAATGGCAGAGCCGCCTAAAATGGCGTTGGCCCTGCTACTCTGTTTATTCCCCCATTTATTTTAGCAAGCGACTTGTACAGAAGCAGAATGCATATGTTAAGGTCAGTAGGGGTTGGGGCGTCCCTTAACAAAGGAATCATGACTTCATTTTACTCATCTCTAGCTCTCTGGCATGCAGTTAGTATCTGTTTTACTATTAATTAACAAATGAGATACTTCCTATCAAGACAAGGCAAAATTGAAGATATACCTCATAAAGAAATGAGTGCTTTTTGGATTTAGACAGATTATGATTTATACAGAAAGTGAAAACAAGAGTAGCCAAAGGTGCCATCTCCTCATGAGCTTTTGTACCACATACCAAAATGATGACACCAAAACAAAAGGAGTCAGATAAC